TACACCGGCCGATTTAGTTACAGCTGTCGTTACAGAATTGGCTATTTTACCATGCACCAGCGTTCCTGTTATTCTACGAATTAAACCATCGGAAAGTTAAACTTGTCTGGATGTAATTATTGCTTTTATATTATCCATGTATATTACATGGTCGTAAAGAAACATCTATCAAGTCTAATTTCATTTATTTGAAATTAGATTCATATTCATTATGTTCATTCATTACATTATTAGAATTGTTCCTATGTCATCCAAAAATATATTATTTTATATACTTTTGAATAAAATTGTTTATTGTTAATAATAATAGTAATGATTATTGATATGATATAAATAAGTAAAGAAATATTAATAATCAAATTTTAAGATAATACTTTATTTAAAATATTTAAATTTTTAATCAACTCTAATATCATATTCGTACTAGAATAATTTTTCATTCCTTACATTTATTCTTGTTATTTTTATAATATAAATAATAATAATATCAAATGATCGATTATCGATAATAATATATATATTATATTATATATATAGGAATACTACTATTTTATTTCATTATATTTCTTCTAGATGTCGCTGTATTGTTTGTGTTTTGATTGGTCGAAATCACGTGTATCTGTACATTATAAAATGTAAAACAATTCTATTAGAGAAAAGTTATTTTTAAAGTGTTTTTATCAATGTTTAAAAAATTAATAACCGTATATTTTAAGAAATACATCAAAAATAGATACTTTTGTTCTAAATTATCGTCGAAAGAAAATTTGCGTAATGCATTGTTAACAAATTTACATGTTACATCAGGAGAAGTTGATCAATTGTTTAATTTATACAATGAAAGATTGTTAAAGATATCAGAAAAAAGAATTATTAGAAATAGTCAAATATGTAAGGTGAGTCAACATTCGTTATTATTCTAAATGAATTATTTCAAGAGGTTATGTTTAATAATACATACAGTATATATATATATATATATATAATGTACACATACACATAATCTGATTTTTCATATTTATTTTTTTAGGAACACAATATTGAATTAAAAACTGCAAGAAATATGTTCACTTGCTTTGTCATGTATTCTCATTTACTGAAACATAGAATATTTGTTTTGCAAGAGTTGGGTGTACCTAAAATACATATTAATTTAGTTTGGAAGTATGTTTATATTTGTATTAAATATACACATTAATGTTGTATGTACATAATACAAATGAATGCGTTATGTTTCTTTAATAGATTGCCGCATCTCATGAAGAAACCTGCTAGTGAATTTAAAACGATTACAAATATACCAGAGAAGCAACGTATTATGAGTAATATGATGTATCATATAGATAGAAATTTGTCAAACGATTTGCCCATTGAAAAATTGAATGAATCTGTATCTATGAGAGAACATTACAAAACATGTTTTACATATTACGCTCAAAAGAAATTAGGTGTCAAAAGTGACGAATCATTAAAATATACAGGATTTTCCTTCAAAAGTATAAGATTAATGACCAAGTTAATAGATTTTTATAGAAATAAATTGGGTTTTGATTTAGAATATGTAAGTAATATTAATTATATTGTATTATATAATCAATAGTTAACTTAATACTTATATTAATATTTCATTTTATAACACAGATAAGAAAACATTTATATTTATTGGATGTATGCCCGGATTATGCACAATATGTGATGGATAGTTTAAAGGATTACAACATATGTAATTATAAATTTGAAGAAGTCGTTAAAAAATGGCATACAATATTAAATTGCGATCCAGAAAATACGATAAAAGTATTATGCACCATAAAAAAATATGAAATAGATGAAAGAGCTTTGAAAAGTTGTCTTAAAATTTTGAAAGTTAGTAATGATTATCTTATTGATAGATTGAATGAAATATCAAATACACCGGATCTCAGAGTATGGAGTAAGAATTCACGTGTATTATTTTTCATAGTCCATAAAAACATGATCAATAAACGAGTTGAATTCCTTCGTAAAAAAGGTTATCTTAAATCGGCTAACTCGTATCTGATTACGAGCAACAAACATCATTTTCATAAGTAATAGGTTTATTATTATTATAAAATATATATATATATATATTTGAATATGATTTTTACAGAAAAAAATGAATATAATTAATAAATACAAAATATATTTCTTTGATATAGATTTATACAAGACGAATTAAATTTCATGATAAAAAGTGAATACATAGAATACATTCTATGTAAAGAACTAGGTTCCGACAAGAAATACGTGATCAAAATTTTGAAAAGACATCCATATTGGAACAGAGTATCTTTCGTTGATTTGGACGATACATTGCGTAATTTGAAAGAATATTATTCGATAGAAGATATATGTCCTAATATTCAAATAATTCTTTATCCATGGTACTAATGGATTCTAATTCAAATATAATTTTACTTTTTGATTCGTACATTTTCATTCAAAGAATATATATCTATCTAATATAACTTCTTTCTTTTTATTTTGCAGGGTTACTGTTAAAAAAACGTTACAAACTATAAATGAATCTGATCAATTTTGCAAGGAATATAATTTGTCTCAACATCTAGCACTTTGTTTGTATCTTATGGAAAAAAATAATCACTTTACTGGAGAAGCTATTTGGAACACAGAAGAAAGTAATGAATTAACGAGCAATGAAAAAATCGAATCATCGGACACATCCAATGAATCCTTGGATTTAAATCAAAGTTGTAATATTTTGAATAAATCTTGAATTTATTCAAGATTGTAAGATTCTTTTTATTTTTTTTTATTTTATATACAATTGTTTTTAGTTTTATAGTTATTTATTTTTTAACAATAAATCAAAAACAAAAAAGAAAATAATTATAAAACACATTTGAAGTAATTGTATTAATCACGTAGATTATATTCATTATTTATTTCTTTTTTTTTTTTCCATAATATAGTTGTACGAATATTAAAGATAATCGTGCGAATTACGATACTGTATAAAAAAAAAAAAAAAAAAAAATTGGGCGGGGAAATATGATAATAATCAAACCATTCTTCTCCCAACTCACTTTCAACTAAATATCTATAAGATTTATTTTCAAAATTATTTTAATACGAGAAATAAACATTGTAAAATAAAACTCGTACATAGTACTAGGATAATAAATCAAAATGTTTCTCATTTGCTCCCTAATGCGTTTTTCCATGCATTATTACAAATATATATGCATGCGATTTATAACGCATGACGGGAAAAGTCATTTAATTAATTAATTAATCAATTAATTAACTTAATATCATAGAAATAATTGCAACTATAAGAATTGACGTGAAATTAAATTAATCCGCGACAAAGACGGAATTTCTCGTATTTCACACAATGATTACAAAAAAAAAAAAAAGAGAGTAGTTCAATAATTTTTTTTATAATACTCCTATTCGTACTTTGGAGGCAAATGAAATTTGCCAATTAAAATTGTATTTCTTAATAATTAATCATTTTTTGATACTTAATCGTATATATCACGAAAAAAAAAAAAAAACACGCTGATTAACTTTCTATACATACATATATCATATAAAGCACAATATCTTAACAGACTAATAATATTAATTTGTATAACATGTATAAGTGTGTGAACAAAAGAAAAAAGAAGTGTAAAAAGTATTTTTTTCAACACCATTTGTAGTATGCAAAGCTGTCTTCTTCGTGTTCTCGTAGAAAAAAAAAAACAAAAAACTAATTTTCTACGTTGGATGTTCTGCGTAATAAAAAATAAAGAATGTCGCATTAAAATGAAAAGAAGAAAGAATCATAATATCTTCTTGAGTTTTTAGGCACAAGGATTCACGTGGTAAAGTCCGAGTAATAACGATAAAAGCCATCTAGAATAAATCTAGAAATTGGCTTTCGAGTCAGTTGAGAAAAGGAGGCAACTGCACGTAACTTTGTTGGCTGTTAGGTTCGCTCTTGACCATCACCTGATCCTTTATACTTTGACGTCCTTGCGGTGAATGCATACCATATTCTTGTTTCTGATCGTGCTGTTGTTGTTGCTGTTGTTGTGAATAATCTGTTTGGTCGTGCTGATATTTATCAGCTGGACTAAGACCACTTACGTAATCCAACTGTTTATTTTGTTGATGTTCATCCTCAGACATTGAACCACCAAGATGAGTAGGAGGTGAATGAGTTGTTGTAACCATCGTCTGATAATCATTACGCGTTAAAGGTGGTGGTGGGCTATTACTAGCGTTCATATAATCTTGATGAACGCGCATAGTGTTGCTTGTAGGTGGAGAAAATAAAGAAGCATCGTGTTGAGGCAACATCGTTGCATAAGGATATGCCGATCCGTTATTGCTAGGACCACCAAAAGACGTCGTGTATGGCGAATTGGAAGGACTTAAAAGATTCAAATGTGGCGCTAAATCGTAAGCTGGTGTATAGGTCCAAGCATCAGGTGGCGCTGCTGCTGTTGCCGGAGACGCAAACGGATTTAACGTATTATTCAAAGACGGGAATGAACCTACGGAAAATATTCAACAAATATATGTAATTTAGCTTTTTTTCTTTTTATATTTCTAATTAATTTATTAAAAGATAATTAATTAATTAAATATATTAATAATAATTGTAATACCTGAGATACCAGGACTACCAGAACCGGTAGCTATGTAACCGGCAGTTTTACGCGGTGGTTCCCTTTTCCGCCATTTTGCGCGTCGATTCTGAAACCAGACTTGTACTCGAGATTCCGATAGTGCTAATTTTAAAGCTAATTCCTCGCGAGCAAAAACGTCAGGATAAGGTGCACGTTCAAACGCTCTTTCCAATTCTTCCAATTGAAAGGCAGTGAAGGTAGTTCTGTAATAATATTCACGAAAAGATTGAAAAATAAATTCGATGAGTAGGGGTTTCGGACGCGAGAGTATACTTGCTATATCATATATTTCAATGTTATAATTAATTAACTACCTGGTTTTCTTTTTTTTGATTCCATTATTATCGGTCTTCTTTTTCGAGTCCTTCTTAGCCGATTGCGTTTCACCGCTCACTATGATATAACCAATTAACGATATACTAATTTTCTATTTTTTTTTAGGTACTCCAAGTTTGAGGAAATTATAAAATATCCGTACCTGGTGCAAGAGAGTTCATAGGATCATCCGGCTTCCTTTTTAGAGAATTACCAAGTTGAAGACCTTGTTGCAGGGTCGTAGAAGTCGGTGTTGCAGTGGTGGTCGTAGATGTTGTTACATCCGGAGTTTGAGGTAAGGGTGCGTACATACCAGCTAATTCCAATTCCTTCAATTCTTTTTGTTGTTGTTGCTGTTGCTGCTGTTGTTGCTGTTGTTGCTGTTGTTGTTGCTGCTGCTGTTGCTGCTGCTGTTGTTGTTGTTGTTGCAAATGATGATGAGCCGTTTGATGATGAGGTGGTGGACTATTTGAGGAATCCAATTTATGAAGATGTCCACCTGTCGGCATCAAGTCATTTCCATGATGTCCGCCGTGTAAACCCAGCATCACTTGAATACTGTGAACCCCGGTACCACCTCGACCACTAAAGTCGGAAAATATTGGATCGTCGAACGGACCACCGTCCATTATTCCGTATGTAATTGATAATCCAAGAATATAACTTCAAGATTCTTCGTAGAATTCTTCAAGTAAATCACTTTGATAATTATTATTTCACACAGTCATCATCATCATCATCATCGTCATCATCATCATCATCATCACATCATCATCAATATTATTGTCGTCAGCATAATCAGTAGCAGCAGTAGTGAATGAATTCGATGATTGAAGATTGTTAAATTGATCCAAACGAAGAATCTCAATCAATGGTTATTGTCTCCTTTCTTCTTCTTATTCTTCTTATTTATCCTGATTGCTTATCCTTCTTCTTGATGGAGGTCAAAAAATCCTCTTTAGTAAGGAAAGCAAAGTTTTAATAGGAAGAAAGGCGATCGTTAACCGCTTGGCGCCTCTAATGGAATCCAAAGCAATTGGTATCAATCGTTGCCGGGTTATGATTAATTTTGATTAGTTTTAAGCGGAGTTAACGAAGTAAACTGTCGGTTATATAGACAGACAGACAGACAGATAGACCGTTGTCCATCGGATATTATATAGTCGTCTAATGGGAGGAACGAGTACGAGGAGGACCTTGGAAGTGAACAGGACCGAGGAAGAATGAGAAGAACGATGAGCGCGTGGAGACGAACTAAACGAAACTAACGGGAATTAAATGAATTGGAGAACGTTTGCGGACCAAATTGAGATCTCCGATCCTCTTTCTTTTTCTTCTCCCTTTTTTCTTTTCTTCTTTCTTTTAATGACTGACTTGAAAAGGGGGATGATAAATTGAAAATAAAAAGCAATCAAAATGAACTCCCTAACAATAAAATGTAAAAATTAAAAACAAATTAAAATAGAGGGAGGGAGAAAGAAAGAAAGAGAGAGTTAGTATCGCGTAGTTAGACTCTCGCACTATCGACGATCCGTTCTGACTCTGGCTAATCAGGGGACACTCACACAGGCTTATATTTTCAACGAGGCCGCCGTCGAAGCGCCGTTAGGCCGCCCCCACACATGGAGGTTAGCCAATCATGTAGCACCTACTCTTGGGAGAGGTCTCGTGTGCGCCGAACGTCCTGCGCCGACGTAGTATTATTATACTTGTACACTTATTCTCGTATCTCTCTTAGCGTGTCTCTCGTGCCACTCTCCGTAGCTCTTTCTTCTTCCTCCGCCCCCCGAGGGTTGGACTTTACGAGAGGCCCTCCACAAATCGGCCTGCTTCTCTCCTTCTCGTGGAATGTTCCCGTTGAAACCCTCGTGGGAATCGGAAACTGTTTGGCCTCGATCGAGGATTTCCCACATGACTTCTCTTTCTTTTAAATCTCCCTCGAAATATATATACGTATATATACTATATATAAACATGCTGTTTGTGTGTAGTATATATCTATATATTATAATATTCGAGAGAAATATATATATATAAATACATATAATAATATGTAATTGCATAATAATATGTTTCTCTATCGAGAATCAGGTTATACCGTAAGCCGCCATTTTTTTCCTCCCCGTTTTTTTAGTTTTCCCGCCAAAAAACTTGACCAATGTTATCACCACCTTCACTTCACCCTATCTTATAATCACAACTGTTTATTTCTTTCATTTCACTGATATATTCCTCGAATTGAACATTCCTCACTCGATAATGAACACTTTTCTTTTTCTTCCTGGTCATTCTTTTTATCAATTACTAAGATGTCTACTTACTTACTACCACCACCGGCCTAGAAGTATGTAAGATCGCAAGTGAATGTTATATTTAGTTTGAAATCAATGTAACCGATCGATCGTTCGATTTACGATAAAAATATATAAGATATATAAACGGAAAAGTAGTGATAGAACCTCGAAGAAGAGATCCATGTCCGTTGACCGGCAGCATGGCACTGAGCTCTTAAGCGCAGGCTCAATGAAACCAGCAATCGCCAGGAATTGCCTCGAATTGGCCCAATCAAACTACCCCCATTCCGTGTGTATACGCGTATATTAACTGCTAATTTCATCGGCGCTAATTAGCGAACGCGCGCGCCCGAGCTCGCGCGCGAGCGCGTTCGCGTTCCTTATTCAAGCAAAGCTTTTACTTTGCTCGAAGATTCCACTTATCCGATCACTCGTTTAAGATTTATTCGTCGATCGTGAAACTCTTTTCATCCTTTTAACTCTCTCTCTCTCTCTCT